CTCAAACTCACAAACTGCGAGATCATGACTTGAGCCGAAGTCGGTTGCTTAACCAACTGAGTCACCCAGGCACCCCCCTCTATTAATGTTTTAATGTCTATAGGATCGATAGCCCCTCTTTTACTCTGGATATTGGTAATGAATTCTCTCTATATATTTAATCACTTTTATTGATCTCTTATAAGACCAAACATTTGGATTTATGGTTTTTCTATATATATATATATTTTTATTTTTTTTAACGTTTATTTATTTTTGAGACAGAGAGAGACAGAGCATGAACGGGGGAGGGGCAGAGAGAGAGGGAGACACAGAATCCGAAGCAGGCTCCAGGCTCTGAGCCTTCAGCTTAACCGACTGAGCCACCCAGGCGCCCCAATATATTTTTAAATCTATTTTCCAGTTTATTGATTTATGCTCTTACCTTTTTCATGCTCTTCTTACCACTTATTTTGGATATTTTTCTTTTTTTTTCTTTTTTTTTTTTTTTTTTTGAGACAGAGAGAGACAGAGCATGAACAGGGCAGGGGCAGAGAGAGAGGGAGACACAGAATCTGAAGCAGGCTCCAGGCTCTGAGCTGTCAGCACAGAGCCCGATGCAGGGCTCAAACTCGCTGACTGTGAGATCATGACCTGAGCTGAAGTCGGACGCTTAACTGACTGAGCCACCCAGACGCCCCTGGATATTTTTCTTAAGAGAAAACATTTAGTCACTGAATTTTAGACCTGTCTTGTCCAATATGGTAGCCAATAACCATATGTGGGTATCGAAATTTAAATTAATTTAAAGTGAATTAATTACAAATTCAATTTCTTATTCATACTAGCCACATTTCAAGAACTCAAAAGCCACACATGACTAGTGGCTACCAGATTGTATAACACAGACACAGAACATTTCCATTGTCACAGAAAGTTCTATTGTACAGCACATTTAAGACCTTTTTTTATATTTTTATTTTAACATTTTATTTCTTGAGAGACAGAGAGTGACAGAGTGTGAGCAGGGAAGGGGCAGAGAGAGAGGGTGACACAGAATCCAAAGCAGCCTCCAGGCTCTGAGCTGTCAGCACAGAGCTTGATGTGGGGCTCGAATCCACAAATGTGAGATCATAACCTGAGCTGAAGTCAGGCGCTCAACTAACTGAGCCACCCAGGAGTCCCCAGACCTTTCTTTTTATAATACAAACATTTAAAGCTATAAAATTTCCTCTAAGTACTGCTTTAGCAGCACTCTATACATTTTAATATGCTGTATTTTCATTATCATTTAGTTACAAATATTTCTGAATACGCTTGTGATTTCTTCTTTGAACCACTGATTGTTCATAAGTGTGTTGCTGAATTTCCAAATATTTGGGGTTTCCCAAGACATTATTGCTTTTTTTTTTATTTTAGAGAGAGAGCAAGAGAGAGCACACGTGAATGGGGGAGAGGGGCAAGGGAGATGAGTGGGGGGCGGGGAGAGAGAAAGAGAGAGAGGCTGGGCTCGATGCAGGGCTTGATCCCCACAACCCTGGGATCATGACCTGAGCTGAAATCAAAAGTTGGAGCTTAACCAAATGAGCCACCCACACGCCTCTGTTATTAATTTCTAATTTAATTCCAATGTAGTAAGGGGTCATATTACATTCTCTACATATTGCAAATCTTTAAACTTTATTGAGACTTGTTTTATGGTCCAGCATTTGACCAACTTGGTAAACATGCCATGAGCAATTGACAACAATGTGTATCCTCTTGTTGAATGTTGTATTCTACAAGCATCAATCTGGTTTATATCTTCATCTATGCCTTTACTGATTTTTTTTTTTTTTTATAACTGATCTATCAGTTGCTGACAGTGGGGAAATCTCCAACTCTGATTGAGGTATATTTTGTCTCTCCCTTTAATTCTATGAATTGGTATGTGAGTTGCTGCATGACAAATTTTACTTAGCTAATATGAAATAGAAACTTTGACTAAAAGATTTAGCAAAGAAACTTTTGGTATCTCATTAATATGTTGAAGTATACAATGAATGATGTTGCTTGTTCAGTTGTTAATAATAGTGTTGTTTACTAAGACCCTAAAAATAACTATTTCCTCTAGTAATTTTCAAGTCCCATGCCATTATCTACATATAGATCTATTTTTCAAATTTGCTAATCTGAATATTTTTACTGTTTATTTATTTTTGAGAGAGAGACAGAGCATGAGCAGGTGAAGGGCAGAGAGAGAGGGAGACACAGAATCTGAAGCAGGTTCCAGGTTCTGAGCTGTCAGCACAGAGCCTGAATCGGCACTTGAACTCAAGGACCGTGAGATCATGACCTGAGCTAAAGTCAGAGGCCAAACTGGCTGAGCCACCTAAGTGCCCCTCAAA